AATGATTATTTCTTTTTCCTATAAATGATTAGAAATTATTCTATACAAGAAAATCAACATATTAAAATACTAACTATTTTCAGTTATGTTGTTATCATCAAAATCCTACCATTAAATTATTATTCTTCAAATCATTTTTGCTTCAACATTCCCAACCTTCTTCTTGAGATCATACATCTAGTTAACGCCTTAAGATTTGTTGTTAACACATGCAAATATATAAAACTCCCTCTGTCTTAGACTTATCTGATCCATAATCAACATCTAGATTATGGAGGACTAAACCAAATAAAAAAATGAAATTTTGTGTGTAACATTTTAGCTAAAATGACAACTTGCAATCACTCATAGCATTATTCTTCTATTTTGGGGAATCATTAGGTATATAAAATATTTGGTTCGTTTATTTGAGTTTATTTACATTATTACATTTTTCAATTTAAATTCTTTTAAATACTATTGACTGCAAATTATTTATTCAAAGAGACCAATAGTCACTCTTATCTACATGAGCTCCATATTTTTTGGTGGGTTTTGCATGTCCATATTTTTTTATAAGTTAGCAAATTGTTTGTTTAAAAAAAAGTTAAAAGTTCCTATGAAAGCGGGAATGAAGTGGACATTACAAACTGTATGTCCTTCATATCACAGCAATGATAGTAAAAACTAAAAAGAATAGTTTGAGAGAATTCATAATAATGTGAGAAACAGCTTTTACTTTTAAAAGTAAGCTGCTTTTGGTAGTTTATTAGAGGATTTGTCTGTTGAATGTAAATCATTTGGAGACAAAATGAGTGATTGAGAATCAATAAAGCTAATTCAACTAAGATTAATTAATTAAAGTAGTTGATAATAAATAAACTAATACCAAAGAAAATAAAAGGAACAGTGAGGAAAGCAGAAGAAAGTGGAGTTTGGTTTATGGTATTTAAGATAATGGCATATCCTTAGGACAAAAGAATGTTTGGATTCTCATTTCTACAGTAAGTAACAAATCAGATTGAGACACTTTTTTACAGTGCTTAACAGAGAACACTTCACTTGCTAGTATTTAATCTATTTCAAAAAGTGAAGGAATAGAATAAAAACTAGTACTAATTAATGTGTGTATACCAATACAAGATTGAAGGAATTTTCTTTTACATTTATCTAGAAATAGGTTAATGGTGTAGTGACTCATTGCTTTAAATATATATATATTCTTTGCTTTGCTTTCTTATTTTAAACCATTGATAAATATGCTTCTTTTTTCAACTTCAACTCTGACACAAACAAGGATTGGAGTGAGATGCATGACCAAGTTGAACTGAATCTTTCAAAACCTACCCTTTACTTACTTACTTATCTTCTTTTAAGTATAGAAATACATAGAACTTGACCAAGTTTGTTTTTTTTGGCAACAAAGTTTTCATTGAATGGAAGGGAAAAAAGATGCAGTTTTGTTTTGTGTTTTGGCTTTGTTCTTCATGTGGACTTCAGTAACTGGTTTGCTTTCTTCAAAAGGTGTTAACTATGAAGGTGACTAGTTAGCAATTTATTCAATAACTAATACTAATACTAAAAAGAAACATTATAAACTTATCTTTGTTGAACATGCAGTTCAAGCTTTGATGGGAATTAAGAACTCTTTGAGTGATCCTCATTCAGCTTTAAATAATTGGGATGCTGAGTCTGTGGATCCTTGCAACTGGGCTATGGTTACTTGTTCTCCTGATCATTTTGTCATTGCACTGTAAGTAAAACTTACAACAAGAGTAGCGGCGCAGTTTGTTGCATGATTGTCTTCTATTTCTGTATAAACTTTAAATAATATTTAATTTTCATTTTTTTTTTCTTTAAGATTTTCTTTAACTTCTTATTTCATCCTTTTATGTTAGTGGAATTCCTAGCCAGAATATATCTGGTACTCTCTCATCAACCATAGGTTCCTTACCAAATCTTCAAACTGTGTAAGTAACCAACCTGTGAGAAAATTTATTATGGTAAGAAAATTTTCTTATTTAGAATTGTGTTGCAGGCTTTTGCAGGATAATAATATAACAGGACCAATTCCCTCTGAGATTGGAAGGCTTCAAAAGCTTCAAACACTTGATCTTTCAGACAACTTCTTCACTGATCAGCTTCCAGATTCTCTTTCACATATGAAGGGTCTCCATTATTTGTAAGTTCAAGAAGAATACTATAGTTTTGTATCTCATATTGTTAAAATGGAAAGTTAAGAATCTGATAATAAGAATTTGAATTGAAATTTTGAAATCAGGAGGCTAAACAACAACAGTCTTTCTGGACCAATTCCTTCTTCAGTGGCTAACATGTCTCAGCTAGTTTTTCTGTAAGTTTCTCTTTTGAGCTTTTTATCATTATTTTTTATTTTTCAATCATTAATTTGTCTTTTTTTGAATTTTTCTTAGGGATCTTTCTTTTAATAACTTGAGTGGACCTGTACCTAGATTTAATGCTAAAACATTCAAGTAAGTTCTTTAGTCCTATTTTAAAAAAATCTAAGTTTTGTTCTAAATAATTGTATAATTGTATGTTTTTCTTCTTTTGTGACAGTATTGTAGGAAATCACCAGATATGTGTCACTGGAGTTGAGCAAAACTGTTTTAGAACAACATTAATTCCTTCTGCTATGAACAATAACTCTCAAGGTAATCATAGTTTTCTTGTACTTTCTCCAAACTCATGATGTTTTTATTTGAAGATTTTATTTTGACTTAAAGTTCATTCATGATGGTCTAAGTCTAAGCTAGTGCTTTTTGAATTCAAATCTATTTTATGAGTTCCTGTCCAAAACTATTCAGTTTCTTAAGTTGTTTTCATATATTTATAATCATTACATCCATCATTCTTCACTCCTATATTTATTTATTTATTAGCATGAAGTTAACTTTTAGCTTCTTTAAGAAGAAAATTAACTTACTGAATAAGCACATGTACATAAGCTGTTTTCAACTTATTTTCATAGAAAGAGTTTATACAAGCAAAGCAAGTATCTGATATAAGTATTGAACTAAGTTGTTTATCCAAACGGGTCCTAATACAATTTTCTTAAATATTTCTCAAGATTTACAAGCCTCTAATAGACCAAAAAGTCACAAAGTTGCTTTGGCTTTTGCTTCAAGCCTAAGCTGCATCTGCTTACTTATTCTGGGATTTGGCTTCCTTCTCTGGTGGAGACAAAGATATAACAAACAAATATTCTTTGACACGAATGGTTAGTTAGTGATTGAATCAAATTAAACTCAAACGTAGACCAATTTGATATGCCTATGATTACAATTTTTCTTTCTAAATTTTTTCCAGAACAATATCGTGAGGATATTTGCCTTGGAAACCTGAAGAAGTTCCATTTCAGAGAACTTCAGGTTGCTACAAATAACTTCAGCAGCAACAACTTAGTTGGAAAAGGTGGTTTCGGTAATGTTTACAAAGGTTGTCTTCGAGATGGTACAGTTATAGCTGTAAAAAGGCTTAAAGATGGTAATGCAATTGGCGGTGAAATCCAGTTCCAAACTGAACTAGAAATGATCAGCTTAGCTGTTCATAGAAACCTTCTTCGCCTGTATGGATTTTGTATGACAACTACAGAAAGGCTCTTGGTTTATCCTTATATGTCAAATGGTAGCGTCGCTTCTCGTCTCAAAGGTAACAGAAATCATGCACCTCTATTAGTAGTAGAAGAAATTTAATTAAGTACGACTTTGGTGTTTGATAACTAGCGCTGCGATCCTTTATACAGGCAAGCCATCTTTGGAGTGGGCAACAAGGAAGAGGATAGCATTAGGAGCAGGAAGAGGGTTATTATATTTACACGAACAGTGTGATCCAAAGATTATTCACAGAGATGTTAAAGCAGCAAATATCTTGCTTGATGATTATTGTGAAGCTGTAGTAGGAGACTTTGGGTTGGCAAAGCTGTTGGACCACAGAGATTCACATGTGACAACAGCAGTGAGAGGAACTGTAGGACACATAGCACCTGAGTACCTATCAACAGGACAATCCTCAGAGAAAACAGATGTATTTGGGTTTGGAATTCTTCTGCTTGAATTGATTTCTGGACAGAGAGCTCTTGAATTTGGAAAAGCTGCAAACCAGAAAGGAGCTATGCTTGATTGGGTAAGTTAAACAGAATGGGTTTATTTGTCCTTTCTTTTTGTTCTCTTTCTTACTTTTGTTTAACTTGGAGACAAATATGCACTCACAATTACTTCAAATCACTAGTCTTGTCCAACTTGTGTTGGATAGTGCTTATGTCAGACACTTGAAAGAAACTTTGAATACTAATACATTTTGCCCTCATGTAGGTGAAGAAAATACATCAAGAGAAGAAGATTGACGTGTTGGTTGACAAGGACTTGAGAAACAACTATGACAGGATAGAGCTAGATGAAATAGTTCAAGTTGCTCTTCTATGTACTCAGTACCTTCCAAGCCACAGACCAAAAATGTCAGAAGTAGTTAGAATGCTTGAGGGAGATGGACTTGCTGACAAATGGGAAGCTTCACAGAGAGCTGAATCAACAAGAAGTAGGGGAAATGAACTCTCGTCTTCAGAGCGTTATTCTGATCTTACCGACGATTCTTCATTGCTTGCACAAGCAATGGAACTTTCTGGACCAAGATAACATACTAACTCTAGTTTTCAACACCTCTATTATGCTAATTTTGTGCCACAAAATGTTTATTCTCAGTTCTTTAGCTTTTTGGAATAATGTTAATAAACTAGTTTCTACTCAAACCTGTTGATATTTTTTTAAGATTTGTTTCACTATTAGAGACAAAACATTGTCAATTGTTTAACCATACAAAGTTTTTAATCTGCATAAAAGAACAAAAAACTTGTTTCACATAGAACAAATCATATTAATAATAATAAATAATATAAATATAATCCTAAGAACTGATCACAAATGATTTAAATTTAATCCTTGGACTTGGACTAGTAGTAGATTCCAGTTGAACATGTTTTGAAAAGGTGTCCGTTCTCTCCATTCTCAAAAACCCGAAGAAACACGGATTGGATACTCTAGGCGGGTGAAATAAACTTCGGCTTTAGTAGAAGCTCTTCGAAATTTCATCAATTCCACCGTCATTTTCAACAGATATTCCTTATTGTTTATATAAGGAATGATAAACATTTTCTCAAGGACAGGTGAAGAGCCTAGCAAAAATTTGATAAATTGAATCTCGTGTGGAACACCACTCATTTCTTCCAAATCTACAGCTTTAAGCTTGCTAAGTATAGAATCTGAGGGGCATTCTCTTTCCCAAATATCCAAGTCTTGTGCATAAGTTGAAACTCGTATGTCTGACATACCCTGCCAAATTCAAATAAGCAATTAATATTTTATTGTAGAGACTATATGTAAAAATTAATAACAGTACAGAACAAACTATTCATATCCTTAGAACTTACTGAAATTTGAAGTTCCTTTAGATTTGGAGAGCATCTAATCAAGCCAAGAACCACGAGTATCTCTTTTGTGTCCGTAAAACATACCGGACGCAGTTGAATACACTCCAAATTGTTGAACATCATTGCAAGATGCCTTAGTTCATTACCTATGCTCAAATACTTGAACAACATACCAAAATGAGCAACAGGTTAGTCATACATCATAACATAACACCATTCATTTGTTGATTACAATGATGATGAATCAACTTAAAAACATATACAACAACAAAAGGGTGGGCTATATACAACAATGGATATATGGATCAACTTTCTGTCATAATGTTTTATTCAGGATCATGCTTCTGACCTAATTGATAATATCGAGATCAAGAAAATGTTACCTTTGTGAAGTGCACAAATCCGTCAAGTTTCTTAAGATTTGGCACACCACTAAGAAACTTAACAAAATTGCAATTTGAACTTTGTTCCCAAAGATCATCATCAGGCATATACATAGAAACAAACAGTTCAACCAAAAGCGGCATATCTACTAAACGAATGTCGATGAATTCACCGAAGAGCTGCATGTACTTGAGATTCGGAGCAGAAATAGTAAGAGCTAAACAATCACAGCGTATAAGTGATAAACTCTCCAAGAGAGGACAAGTCGATACGAGCCTCTCAATTGCTTGAGAGGACACCAGAGCCTGAGTAAGATTGAGCCTCTTCAAACAAGAAAATCCCTTAAAACTATCAGGCAGATACAACTCGCAGCGCGAGAGCTCCAGTCTAGTCAATTTCTCACAATCAAACAAACAGGAAGGAATTATAAAGAATTGGTGAACTCCCAAATCAAGAGTCAAATCTTTAACACCACCATTCCTGGATAGAAAAAGAATCCAGTCATCGATTTCAGGTAAACCGAGCAAGCTTCTGTGACTGATTTGGAACTTATGTATAGGTCCTTCGTGAAGTGACAACACCGTGGAGATAAACTTGACAATTCTTTCATGAAAAACTAGTCTGTCGTCGTAATTGACATAGACTGGAAAAGACTTTTCATCGAAAACAAGATGGTTAATGGAACGCCAGATATCCCTCCATCTCGGAGACAAAATAGTTGTTCGCGTAGCATCTATTATAGGAACTTGTATCAGAATGGTTTCTATAATGCTATTAGGAAGGTCACTGATCAAATCACTCATTTTGCGGTGCCAAGAGAAACCACGAACGGCACAAACGGCACAAACCTTACTTGCGAGAGAAGGGAGTGAGAGAGTAGGGGTTCAAATATTGCTAGGATACAAAACATATATAATACTCCTTCCCTCATAAAACTGTCACATTTGCACCTCAAAATAATTTGTTTCTTAAAATAATAATGCAGTATTTATTATTATTATTTCATTACTTTGCATCTAATTATTATTTTTAATTTTATTTAACTATTCTATTAACTACAATTATATTCTAATAAATTTCAAATCAAATCACAATTGGTTTAATTTACCTAAATCAATTTTCCAAAATGACATAAAATCTTTAATTATTTTTTCCGTTTTTCTATATAGATTGTGAATAGTGGTATTCACCAACTAATTTGATTTCATTTTGTTACTCAAACGTCATTGTTTAGTTTGGATTTTAATATAATTTGGCTTTCAATTTAATTTAGATTTATCCAACACTTCTAAAAGCTGAACAATTTGATGAATTTTTTTTTAGAATAATCATGTATTAAAAAAAAATCGTAAATAATTATGTTTCGGAAAAAATTACGCAAATAACCATGTTTCAGAAGACTCTCCAAGGGAGGAGCTGTTGTATCCCAAAATTTACCCTCTCATTTTAGCAACACTTCTCATCACAAGACTCTTTGAACTCAAGATCAAGCTAGGGTTTGCTCTGCTCAAGATATTTCTTTGCACTGTTGACCTAAATTAGGGTTTGGGTTTGCACAGGGATTTTTGGATTGCTAATGCTCAAAATGGCTTTCATACTTCATGTTGGACATATAAGATTACCTCTACCAAGTTTCAAGCCTTGAATCAAATTTTTGTCCGGTCAATTGGACAGTTGACCTAGAAATCAGCTGTATTGGGGAAAAAGTCAACTTTGGTCAATTTACAGTCAAACCTCACAATTTTTTATCCATATCAACATTATAAACTCATATGAACCATTTGATCAAGTTTGGACCACAACTCCACAAGAAATTTGATCAAATCATCAAAAGGGCAAAATGGTCATTTTTAGGATTTTGACTGCACAAGGGCAATTTCTGACTTTTGACCTAACCAATGGCAAGTTGGATTCAAGCATGATTCAAGGACTCAATGGAATCATCTTGACCTACTCACAAGGTTCAAAAGATCTCAAGTACATTGGATTGACAGATGAATTTTTCAGTCAACTGATCAAAATTTGACTATACACTGAAAAGTCAAAACTTTGACTTTTTGGTCAAAATCAAGTGCCAAGGGTCATTTTTCATCAAAATGTGTCAAAACATGAAACTTGTTCATCAAGAAACCCATTTTTGCAAATTAGGGTTTAAAGTTGAAAATTTTCATAACTTAGAATTTTTCTAAGTTATGAAATTTTCTTAATTTTTCCTAACTTTTCCCAACATTTTCACCATGATGCAATTGGATTCAAACAAAACTTCCAACATGAAAGTTATAGTCCTCCACAAAGTCTACAACTTTTATTCACAAAGTTTTCCCAAAAGAAGCTTGGATCTCAAGTTATGATTTTTAGAACAAGGGTCCCTAAAACTTTTAACTTAGTGAAATTTTGCCCTAGTTTAGGCAGGATTTTGACCTATCTTCATGGCCATTTTTCACATAGTTCCACTTGGAATCTAAAATTGCATTTCAAATATGGATTGTAGAGCATGTTGTAAGCTTTCCAAAATGTCCAAGAACTCTCTAAACTCATTTGTGGTTAGGGAGAATCGAAGGCTTGAAGTTGGCAAAAACTCATTTTTCATCCATGGCATGTTCATTGTGATACAAGTTGCAAATTCAAATCAGCTTGCTTTGCACTAGATTACAGGCCTCAAAACCATTCCACACTCAATAATTAAATGCAAATCCATTGGTCTAAGACATTGTTTTAGTCATTAGAACATTGCACACAAAATTAATCCTTAAGTAGAAAAAGGTACATTACCATTTTTGCCATAATCTTGCTTTATGTCAAACCACAATCTTTGAGCATTGAGCAAGATCTTATGCAGTAAATAAAATCCACAAATTAGAGGGGTCAAGAGCAGAGGGTGCAAGCATATGGATAGTCTGTACAGGCCTGTTTCACATCACTTCACACACTTTGCTTCATAACCAAGAAATTTGTCCAAAACACAGGAACTTGAACCTCAGCAAAAACCAACTTGTGCAAGCTTTTGAAACATCTTTCACACACCCCTTTGAGCCAGAAACACGACTCCTTGAGCCCTCAGACCTCCCATAGCACAAAATCACCCTCCATTGGCAAAACAGAGCAGCATCTGCATCTTGACTTCCATAGCACAATTTGCTCGTGCGTTTTTCCCCAAACTTGTTCAAACACCTTCCATACAACTCATCCAAGCTATCCTTAAACCTTAAACACTAACTGCAACTCCATTTATAGTGTTTGTCATTTTCAATTTCAGCTTGTGCAGGTTGAGTTTTGTAGGTTTGTTCAAGCATGTTCAAGGCAAGCTAGGCATTGGAGAAGGTCAAGTGAAGTTCAAGCAAGCTCCCAGACATCTCAGGCCTTGTTGAAAAGCTCCACATTGCCATACACGAAGTCAGCTGAAACAGATTTTTATCAACTTCATATCTCTCTATTTAGGAATATTTATACTTAGGTTTGTGAATAATAAATGTAGTATTCATTGCCATGAAGTTGTACATATGCTCAGTTTTCATTTTAGTTAGCATGCTAAGAGAATTTGATCCATGAACATACTGAAAAAATTAGGTTAGGATTTGGGGCCAGAGAAATTCTCTCTGGTCTTTGAGAGTTAGGACAAGTTTTTTATATGGTTGAATTCGTCTTGAAAAGCTCTACAACTTTGATGTTATGTGTTTTTGCAATAGAGCTCGTATGAAGGATCTAGTATTTATGTACAGGGCGCGCGCGAATTTTGAACAGAGGTTGAAGATGAAGTTTGTTGGGCTGGGCTTGGTCCTGGCTCACTATTGACACCCTCTTTTTACTTTTTGCACCCCCTGGCCCAATTTCTTTACATTTTTATATTTTTATTTTTATTTTTATTTTATGATTTTGTTTTATATTTTCCAAACATAAAAATATCCAAAAATATTTTCATAAAATTTTCACATTTATTTTTATTATTTTTGTTATTTTTTTAGACATAAAAATAATTATTAGGTAATATATACTTTTATTTTATTTAAATAAAAACTTATAAATATTATAAAAATATTTTATTTTTATTTTTATTATTCATACCTATAAAAATAATATTTTTCTCATATACTATCATTTTTCTTAAATACTTGTATATATTTTATTTTATTTATTGTATATAATTAATATAATTAATACATATTTACATACTTTTATTTTATAAATACTTGAGAATAAAAACATGAAAAATATACTTTTATCTATTATTATTATTTATACTTAAATAATACTTTTTCTAAATTTTTTTATACACATTATTTTATTTTATTGTATGAAAATGATATAGTCAATATATTTATATGCTTAAAAAATTTAGGGTTTTACCTTTAATAAAAAAAATAATAATCTTTTATTTATTTCTTTCTTTTTACATTAAATATTTTTACATACATAAAAATAAACAAAACCTTTTTTTTTCATATTCATATTATTTCATATATTTATTTAATTTGTTTATTTAAATATTATTCATTTGTTATTTATGCCATTTGATTCAATTTGGATGTAATAGTAAAACTAGGGTTTTAATTTCTTGTCAAATAATTCTCATTCAAAATTGTATCCCCCTCCCCATAATCATGTTGTAATAATGGTAGATTTATTTTACGCATTTACGCTTTCAATTATGCCATGATTAGAGATTATGGTTTGTATGCAAAAATCCAAAATCAACAAGTAGCTTGACTAATACAAAGACAAAAATGCGTGAAAATCAATACACAATGCACACATGCACCCCTAGGATTACATCCACTCGTTGCCTTAAAAATGGGCCATGTTATGCATGTTGGATACTTTGGCAAAACAAAAACAAAACAAAAGATCATAGTCCCTCGATGACGCTATCTTGGTTGCCTAAACAAAATGATCAAGTCCCTCAAAAATTTGCTAAAAATACCTAACACAATTGCTATCATGGTCTATACGATGACCCGCGCCTGTTTCGTTTAACATCCTAATACAAGGTTGTTTACCAAATGCAATGGTAAAACAACACTGTCAAAAGGGTTAAAAATGTATAGGAAAGATCTTTGAGTAAAATAGGGTAGACAACTCTTAGTTACTTGATCAAAACTTGTAAAACATCCTTGCTATTTTCAAACACACCTCACAACACAATTTCAAAATATTTCCCAAAACAAACTTTCAAACATTGAAATATCTTTTCAAAAGACAAACACCTATGTATATATTCAAACAAGAATCGTTACAAAGGTTGCCTATACGATGGCCTCTTTTCAAAACATTTTCAAAACCACACACAAAGCACCATTTCAAACAATTGAAAAGCAAAAGCAAGTGATCTAAACAAGTAACTAAGAGCCCATAGATAACCATTGATGAAAAGGGTCCTTGCACCTTCCATTTTCATAATCTACTCCCTGAACCCAAGAAAACATCTCAAAGGTATTTCCTGTGCTTTTTGACCTTTCCTTTGGATAAAATAAAAAGTCGGTGGCGACTCTTGCTAAACCGAAACATTTGCGAACTCAAATGCAAAACCTCAAGTCAGTTCTCCCACCGTATCACAGGACTGGTGACTCTATTGGGGAAAAATCTCTAAAAGTGGGGTTACCTTAGGGTTTTAGATCATCTTTGCATGCTTACCTTGTTTGCTTTGATTGCTTTACACTTGGTTCTATTGTTTGGGTTTGAAATCCTCTACCCGGATTTGGGAAACATTCATAGGTAAATAGCAATACGTTGTGGAAACTGTGCGGAGTATACCGACATGGTTGAAGCAATAGCTATATTAGTGCGACATATTTGTGGGTACCGGTAG